GTACCGGGAATAACTTGTGGAAGGCTTTTCAACCCACCGTGGACAGCGCAGTGGCCGACCACGGGTGCTTAATGATCGTGACCAGAGGCGTCTAGCTAAAATTGTCCGTGGTAACAGACAAGCGACACTGGCTGAAATCACATCCGCATTCAATGCAGGAGGTACCAGACACATATCCAGCAGGTCAATGCAGCGTTCTTTAGCTTCCATGGGATATGGGAGCAGAAGACCGACCAGAGTGCCTCTGTTAACATCACGACACCGGACACAGTGCCTCACCTGGGCTTGTGACGTCGCCAATTGGACCCTGGAGGATTGGCAACATGTGGCCTGGTCCGATGAGTCACGGTACCAGTTGTTTCGGGCGGATGGTAGGGTTTGGGTGTGGCGCAGACCCCATGAGGCCATGGACCCCAGTTGTCAACAAGTCACCGTGCAGGCTGGTGGTGGTTCCATACTGGTGTGGAGTGTGTTCACGTGGCATGAGTTGGGTCCGCTCACCCACCTAAACACGTCATTGACCGGTGACGGCTACGTTACACTGTTTGGTGACCATTTGTAGCCCTTCATGGACTTCATGTACCCCCACAACGATGGGATATTCCAGCAGGACAATGCATCGTGTCATCGGGCCGGAATTGTCCAGAATTGGTTCGAGGAGCATTCTGGAGAGTTCCGACGAATGGTGTGACCACCACGTTCGCCCGACGTAAACCCAATCGAGCATGTATGGGACGTAGTGGAGAGGTCCATTCGCACCCAAAATCCTGCACCTACAAATACCAGGGAGCTGTGGGCGGCTATCCAGACGGCATGGCTCAACATCTCTCCAGAGGTCTTCCATCCACTTGTGGAATCGATGCCACGTCGAGTTGCTGCACTTCGCCGGGCTAGAGGGGATTCTACACGATACTAGGTACCTATCCCATGACTTTTGGCACTTCAGTGTATGTGCATACTAAATTACAAGAAGTTCTGTGAAGAACTAATCACCTACTTTTCTTTGATACGACAAGAACTGCATAGGAAAGAACGTCTCCAACAATTCCTCTATTGTTGCCTGTGTATTTGTTGCCGCTGTAATGCTTCCATAAAGCCGTTGCCTGACAACGATGAGGGGGGGGGATACACATGTAAACACACGAACTGATGGGAAGGATTTATGAAATCCGCCGTTGACGTGGGCTCATGTTGCATGGTATATATACCAGGTTTCACAAAGATTGGTTCAGGAATTCAAAAGTTGATAGAGGGGATACACAAACAGCTTGGTGATCTCATAAGCCTACTTATATTCTCTTCAAGATAAGGAAATTGGTCTAGAAAGCGAAAATTAAAGACAAGAGTAAAGAGTAAGATTTGAGGCTTTCACGGCGGTGACTATGAAGAAAGCAGTCTTCTGGGAATTGGCACCGTGTATATGTGATGTTAACCGACGTTTCGGAGGAACGTATCGCCTCCATCTTCAGGGTAGAAGGAAAAATATAAGAAATCCGCAAGCGAAGAGACTGTGAGAACCGGTAAAAGCTTGCGGATTTCTTATATGTTTCCTTCTACCCTGAAGATGGGGGCGATACGTTCCTCCGAAACGTCGGTTAACACCACATATACACGGTGCCAAATCCCAGAAGACTGCTTTCATCAACAGTTCAGAGGTTAGCATCTGTGCTTAACACTCGGAAGTTGTCGAGTTCAGGCTACCTCTATCCTGACGGAAGGTTTCTACGTTTTTCTAAATCCCCCATAGGGAAATTGCGAAAGAATTCCCCAGAATATGCTACATACTTCCCGAGTATCATTCATAATCCTGCAGTTCCTCAGTCGACTCTAATTATAGTGTATGCAGTTTAGAAACCGAAAAGTGCAAGTAACTGAACTGAGCGGTAACGCTTCTAACTTGTATTCGGGAGCTGACTGGTGCAAATCTCGGTCGGAACGTCGTGGTATAACTCAGTCCCTCCATGCAAATGCCGCTTCCTAGCATACCGTTTCCAAATCAGCTGCTCTCTCATTCGACGCTGAATAGTGTGTGTGACAGACAGCGCCGTTAAATGAAAAATAAATAAATAAAATACTAACTTACTCGGTAACGGATAGCACAGCGTATTTAAATGCAGTTATTAATCTCATGGGCATTATCCATCGTCCTAATTTGGCCCCACAGATTAGGATCCCTAGGACGGAGACAGACTCCAGTCCCGGAAACCTCATTTCATATCCGGAAAATCGACCATTATATTAATATACCAATGTCACGAACTTTTAGAGCGTAAGATTTGAGGCTTTCACGGCGGTGACTATGAAGAAAGCAGTCTTCTGGGATTTGGCACCGTGTATATGTGGTGTTAACCGACGTTTCGGAGGAACGTATCGCCCCCATCTTCAGGGTAGAAGAAAAAGTATAAGNTGTAGCCTGTCCCGGGTGATTATGATGATGGAGAATTTTGTGGAATGAAGATTGGCAGGGGAAACCGAATTACTCGGAGAAAACCCTCCCTAGCGTCACTTTGTCCACCACAAATCCCACTTGACCAGATCCCAGGATCGAACCCGGGCCACCGCGGTGGGAAGCCAGCGACTAACCGCTTGAGCTATGGCGCGGCCTTACAAGTGCTTAATTTGTTCGTACATAGACAAATATTCTTGTGAAGTTCACCTTTCTTTTTTAATTTCCACCATTCCTCTTTGCGTTGGTGCATTATTAATTTTGTAATTTATCGACCCTGTGGAAACTGTATATGTATATGATGTTGGTAAGGGGATTAATGAGAATAATAAGAGGGGAGGTGATTAGAAAAAAGCTATTATATGCTGTTGTAATACCCCTACATTTTCTTTGAGAGACAACGAAAAAAAAATTTCGTCGGGATTAGCTCACATCTCTGCAGGATTATATTTGGTAGCTCTCGAATACGGAATGGGAGCGCTATCAATTATCACGCAGTGTTTTATGCATTATTTTAATACAGCACATTTTATTGTAGTTCCATTCATTTGTGCTGTGAAAGGAACAACACGCTTTGCAACTCAAAATATACACGACTTTTTAACTATTTGTAGCGATGGATTCATCTAGAAACCTGTAACTGGATCCTGATTTGCTTTAGGTGGGGTTGGGATTAGGTGTGTCACTGTTTTACATTTCCCATCACAATTCATTGCCTTTATCTCAATTTTGTTTCCACTTTATTGGTTTATGCTTTGCTTAACGACGCTGTAAGTAGTCCAGACTACATGGTGTTGAATGGTGAGACGATTGGTGAATAATTAATTGAATAGGAAAGACACTACCAAGGCCTAATTTGAAGATCTGTTATGAGTTTTCCTGGAGGAACTAAAAAAAAACACGAATATCTCCACAAGTGTCCTGGCCAAAATTCAAATAAGACATATTCCAAAGACAAGTCTGTATTGTGACCACTTACGACAACTTGCTCGGTTCGGCTTTCATCATATTTATTATACACTAACGCACATGTATGACTGCTAAACTAGAGACGAAATTATAATAAGAATACGGGTTAGAAAAGAACAAAATGGCCCAGAAATGAAGTGGTGACTAGAAAGAAAATTTATGGATCGGAACCAGCCATTTGCATAACTACTTTATACATGGCAAAGGCTGTGACTGTATCTTAAACTAAAACAGGATTCCTTTCAAATTGTATTTTAAATATTTCCTTGTATTTATAATTAACTACATGGCTGCAAAGTGAATCTTTAACCATTTTGAAGTATTGAACACGTACTCTGTGAAAAATATTGTCACGTGATTTAATGGCTTTAAACGGGATTTTGGATTGATGATAGGACGTAATGGACTCCTTGATACAGCGCGTGACAACACTTACAGTTCACAATTACACACACACACATCAGTATCCACAGTCACGTCTTCACTAGCCGTTGCTTGGTAGTGGCTTTCAATGGCGGACGTTCCCCTTCCTGTGGGTTCCTGAACTATCCCAGGCCCCAGTTACTAGCTTCTCACAGCCACAGCTCACAACAACTGAACCTCAGCAGTTCTCTGAATGACTAACACAGTCACTCACCAACCAACTAACTCATCTCAACTCCACCAACTGAACTCACTGCTCACTAACTGTCCTGCTTACAACATCTCAACATGGGCTGCAAAAAAATCACTGTTCTTCTTGCTCTCATGGCCCATTGCCTAGTAATGACTGTTGACTAGTTGTTTATTCCGTCATTGTTGCCTAGCAACGGTTCTATATGCCACATTTCCCCTCCTTAAGGCTATGCATCTCGAATAGCCTACAGGCGTACTGCTATTTCTTCTTTTCTGAGGACTGTGCTTGTAACATCTGTGATTGGCCTCCCCTTTCTTCCCCGTGGCTCAATTTCAACTGTGATTACTCTCCAACTGCTTCTGCTGCTTTCACCTTAAGACCACTTGTCCTGAGCAGTTCTCTGATAAGGTGCAAGTCTTTTGAGGTGTACCACGATCATCTTTGTTCCAGAGCACGGTCTTTGCCTAGCAAAATGTCTACATGCCACATCATTTATGCTGATGGTAACTTAATAATTATTAATTTTAACATTAGCTGCCTTCTTTGTTCATCTGGAAGTATGTAAAGGTAAGTAGAAGATAAAGTTGCCACTGCGCAAAAATACCATGACATTGAGGTACAAGAATGAAGATATTGATCCGAATATTTCACCTCAGGAAAATCACACCTTAACAGATTTTTTCCTGAGAAAGAATCCCCAGTAACCATTGTATAGGAGGTGGATGGGCTTCAAGCCATTCTGTATGTGATGTTCCCTGCAATCACTTTACTGATTGTGGTATCTTGGCTTATTCTGGGAATAAGTAGTCTTCGCAGATTCACCTCAGTATTTCTGATTAATGTTTCTGTTCTGATGATCAGCAGGAAACTTTAGTACAAACCTAACCTCTATGGCCAGTATAGAACATATCAATATGAGTAAGGCTTGCATTAATTCCTCTTTGTTTATTGAACTGTTTCTCGTTGTAGGTTGGATACCTGCCCGGTATGTATTTGCAGTGTTAGGAAGTATTGCATTGGCTATACTATATGGGTTAAAGGTGAATCTTAGTGTGGCCATTGTAGTTATGGTTAACCACACTTCACAACACACAAATTCTAGCATTATCATACGTTCATCATGCTCCACAAATGATACAGATGACATAAAGAGTCAGGTAAGGTAATATGAAATAATGTACTACAGGTTATTATTAAAGGTATTGTGCACTAAGTGTTGTATCTGAATTGTTAGCAGCACCATTATCATATTTGGTGCTGTACCCAAGTATGGGTTTAATTAAAGAGTACTGGCTTCTGGGATGTGACATTGTATAGCCTGGTAGAAATTCTTGATGTTTCAGAGGAACATGATATCTCCATCTTCATGGTAGACAGGCATGAGTAATCAAAGTAACCATTATATAAATAATACGTTGGGCATTGTATCTTTTCTTTCTGTTTAGTTTGGTTCTTTGATGCTGCTGTCAGTTGCAAGATTATGTATTGTCAATGGTAGGGTAATGAATAAATTTGGAGCAGGTGGTGGGATGAGACTTGGCAGGGGAATGAAAAGTGCTCAGAGAGAACCCACCCTGGTGCCACTTTATCTACCACAAACCCCCATGAACTGACCTGGGATTGAACCTGGGCCACCATGGTGAGAAGCCAGCTACTGACCAACTGAGCCATGGCACTGCAAAAAAATGTCCATTGTTTGAGGTGTATGTAAAGAGCACAATATTTTGGACTCTGAATCCAGTTCCTACTCTCTTGGGCACATTAGATGGAGCCAGATGCAATCACTGAATAACAATGGCATGAAGCACCCCCAAAACCACTACTACTTTTACTACTAATTCAGGCTGAAGACTTCAGTCCTGGAGACAGACGTGACATGTTCCACCAAAACACCAGTAAACTTCCACAGAACTAAACAGCACAACATCCCAGAGATCATTCATAGTCACTTCTAGGATGTGTGTATGTATGTCTTTCTGTGTGTATTTTTTAAATTGAGCCATGTGATTGCCACAGCCTGTGTTCAGTAGGATTTTCCAACCTGATACTGAAGAAAAAGAAATGGATGAACCTGAAAATATTATATATTACAGGATGGCCCATTTACATGGGGTGAAAGCCAGCAAGGATTGATCTTGAGTTCATACTACTGGGGCTATTTGATAAGCCAGATTCCTGCTGGCAGGATTTCAGAGGTGTTCAGTGCTAAATGGGTTATGTTCTCAGCAGTTGTTATTAATATTATTTGCACACTGTTAACGCCAGTAGCTGCGCAGATTGAACCTCTTCTGATGTTTTTAAGATGTGTTGAAGGAGTTGGTGGGGTAAGTATAATTTGAATCATTTCTATCCATTAATCTGATATAGATGAATTTGTAGTCTGTATCTGTTTGTAGTAGTGAGTTTTATCTTGCTACTTGGAATGTGCCATATTTATTCAGATGTAGAAAATGATTTATGAGAGCTGAAAGTGAAATGTTAGAGGCGGATGGCAAATAATAGGAAGATTGGGCATCTGTTGTGAAGGAGGCCAAGATTCCTAATGGACTGTAGATCAGTGGCGTTCCATGCATGGAAGCAAGGGAAGCATTGCTTCCATAGTTAAGAAATGAAAAGAAAAGAAGTCATATATAAATAATTCAATTTGAATAATAAGGATGTGAATATTGTCATTTAGTGCATGTTCCTGCTCAAGGCCACATGCCTCCTCCTCCTCCCTTCCCCTGCTTGGTGGGATGGACCAAATTTCCTTTCGTTAATCTTCGTAATAATTTGTCTAATCCGAAGGGGCCAAGGGAGGAAAATTCAGTTTGCTGGCTAGGCCAGCGAAGGAATGTGTTATTTCAATGGTCATGTGAAAATTAACTGTTTATGTGTGATTTCAGTCTTGTTGGGTGTTATAGGTAACATTAAGTTTTATTAAAATATTGTAAGTACATATTTATATGGTGTAAGATTGTATTTGTGATCGTATTTTGACGCATCAGAAAGAAGCTATCTGCGTTTAAGGGAAGCAAGTCTGATGTTGTGGTACGAGGGGCAGGGGCGTGAATAGACTGCACGCACAGGTCACAGCTAAAATGAATGCTGGCAGACAACGCGACTGCAACTGTGCAATCAAAAGTCTTTTAAAATGGGGGTTTAATAGCAGGGACTTTTCTGAAAAGAAAATAATTATAGAAAGAGGACAACCGACATGAGAGTTGCCAGAACTTAAAGCACAAACCAAATTATGTGTGAGGAAATTAATTTGGAACAGTATTCTAAAACAGAGTAGCTATCTGGTTGCCGTAATATAGGAAAATTGTTTTGTTGACCATGCCTATTGTTTCTCAATGAAAAAAAATGTATGGAACAAGACTGTTTTGGTGATATCAACAACCTTCATAAAGCACTGAAACGACATGAGAATTCTCAGACTCACATTATTTCAACAATGCAACTTGTTATGTTCTGGAAATCTCGAATTGACTGTCAACTTGACAATCAAAAGCGCCTGATGATACTACAGCAGAATGAAAATGTGAAAGAAAATAGAGAAATAATGAAACGCTTGATTGATATCATCTGCTATTTAGGAAAGTGGCAGCTTGTCCTCCATGGTCATGACAAAACCGTGGATTCTGTCGACCGAGGTAATTATGTGGAATTAGTTCACTTGTTGAGAAAATATGATCATAAACTCAATGTTCACCTTGAGAACAGTACAGTATTTACAGGTTTATTGAACAGAATACAAAACGACCTTATTGACTCAATAAATGGCATAAATTTTGGTGAGTTGATTGTTATCACTTCGTTTATTAGATACCACTGCTTCCATTACCAAAAATAGTACTGCATGCCACTGCTGTAGATCCAAGTAGTATGTAAATATCCCTTTGTAATGACAGTATAGTCAGTGATATATGGCTGTTTACTGCGTGGATTTGTGCCTGAAAGTTCCAAGAAATAGTGTGAATTATTCTGTGCAATAATATTCACTTACTGATGGGTAACTGTGAGTCCAGTTTATAGTATAAACAGCAGCCTCGTTCTTGATTGAATTGGTTTACAGGATGTGTGTTCTTAAGCTTATCCTATAGTTAAAATCATTTGACACAATAATGATCCTTACTCTTTCAGAAATTCCAATATATGGACATACTATCTGAAAGTAAAACAGCTTTTTGACGCTGTTAGCTGATGATCAGGTTGTTTTAGCACAAAACTTAAAGATGAAATTTAAGAAATAGGAATGAAAATCTATTTTAACAAAATTTGGTAATGAGAACAAATGATATATGAAAAACAGACTTGTAAAGGTAAAGTTGCCTCTGTTCTTAATTAGTTAAGCATTATGCCATGAAGACATGTGGGGGAGTGGAGGTGTCTTGACTTCAGGATTACATGGAGTTGAGTGATCAGTTTTATGCCCTTACAATATCATAATTATATATACCTATGTTGTACTTATGCTGTTTATTATCATCAAAGAGTGTGTTACCCTTGTATTTATTTATTCAGCATAGAGGTCCAAAACAGCAAGGAAAGCTGGACAGAATTTAATCACTAGACTGAGATATTTTCCCCAGCACTACCCTATGTGCTCAGTTATGACAGAGAAAAATTAAGGGCTGACTGGTTTCACTGTCTCTTTCAATTCACCATGGCAAAGGTGTTCTTCTTTGATATACTTCTTCAGTAATACACAGAAGTTGAAATCCATTGGCCCAAATTTGGGCTGAATGGTAGATGAGCAAGAAGTTCCCAGCTGTCTCATGGATGGTTATGTTAATGGGAATTTCTTAGTCCATAGGTCATACTCCTTCAGTTCTTGGATCGTGGAGCAACAACGAATGCATACTACTATTGTACAATATTGCGGAAAGTAAAAGAAGCATTCGGAATGAAGCAAATGCCAAACACTAATTTCTTCTTTACTGAAATTGAATATGTTGTCATTTGATGAAACATGTTTCTCAATTACTGTGGTGATTATGTGCAGAAATAGAGGGTTTATCCATTGTTCTTTCTGTTGTACATATGTAATGAAGTAATAAGTATGAGTCCAACAAAACCACAGATGACATTTATTGAACTCCCCTCCTGTAATAGATATAACTGGTTCATGTAAAGATGTTATCAAACGAAGGGACAGTTAAGGCTATTATGAAGTAGAGAAATACAGAAGGAAACAGAACAGCTTATATATTGTGCAGTATTTGGAAGCATCTTAATTTATGGGACAGAATGCTGGCTTATAAGTAGAAGGGAAAGACCTCATTCAGAACCAGCAAAAATTAATTTTTGGCGAAGATGATTTTGTATGTGAAGTTAGGTATAAAATCAAATACTTGGAGAAAGAATGGATGTTAACAAGAATGCAAAGATAATACAATTTTGTTGTAGAAAATTCAAGGAAAATGAAAGAACATGCATTGCTAGAAAACTTCAGAATACATTAATATAATTTCACTTCATAAGTACTATAACCATATTATGATGGCTAACAATTAGGGAAATTAATGCTAACTTTGCAAGGTATTTCAAGGGTCTTTATTCTGATGAAAAGCAAAACCACTGCATTTCTGGAATGAGTGTTCACACATAACTTGTAATTGCTACAGGTTCAGAGTCATCAGAACGGACAGAAGCAGCAAGTCTGACTTTTCATCAAAAGTTGAGCAATGGAAACACCAGTAAACAAAAGAAAAATAATTGTAATATAATGCCCTCTGTACCCCATATGTTTACCATTACAGTGTAACTAAAGCCCAAGGAGTTTCAGATCTTGGGTCAGTAGATTGAAACTGTAACATACTACATCTGAGAGACGTAGCACTCCAGTAGAATTAGTGCCATTGTCTTAAGCTACATTATTGTTAGTGCAGAAACTATTGATAGTGTTACTGTATCGCTAAATGTGTTCTGTTTCAGGGGTTTTCATTCCCTGCCATGCATTCCCTACTTTCAAAATGGGCACCTGTTGAAGAAAGAAGTACTATTACAACTATCGTGTATGCAGGTGATACTTTAATGTGGCCTCTTCCTGTAGAATCATAGTCTTTTGAAATTTCAAAATGTGACTTTCCATACCATTATATAAAGTTTCACTCTTTTGTGGTTTTATAGAACAGAGGTAATGAAACAACATAAATGAACTTATATTAAACTATGATTTTAAATCTGTTTCATTGGACACAAATATTGGCATGTAATGTAGGTGATGTGTGGAATAAAATATTGATTAAATATTTTATAATATGGAAAATTTCATTTACTTTAATACTGAAAATTTAAAAACACATAGAAGTCATGAGTCTGTCACTGCCAATTGCATTCTTTAAAAAAAAAAAAGCTATCCCTGTGCAAGGCCGCAAAGGCCCATAGGGTTGTGAGACGTTGAGGGTCCCACATTATCTAGACAATCGGCTTAAAGATGGTGGTAAGATTGTCAGCCTTACGCACCTGCCATGCTTTACTCCCCAGGAAAATTATTTAATTAATTCCTAGTACTCATTTCTGTTAGAGGCTGAGTCGATCCCAGGGCCATAGTGCAGCTGGAAGGATTAGGTCAATTGAAAAAATCCAATGACCTCATCGGGACTTGAACCTGCAAACTTCCGGCTTGTAGCATAGCCCCTCAACCAAAATTATAACAAGTGGGTAGTTGTTTTGCATTTCAGTCTACCCATAAGCCAGTTTTATCACCCAGATACATTGAGTTAAGCAGTACTTTTCATTATGGAATAATTTAACTTTATTAATGATTATGAATTTATTTATACTCTTTCATGAGAGAATTACAGGAACACAGTTGCATTGTTTTCATTTATAAAGAATTATTAATACATAGATTTAATAATTATCTTTTATTTCTATACTCAGTTGTGTAGGAGTGCCTCCTTCAGATATGGCAGAGGGCAGGGCACAGTAATGAGATATTACTAGGCTCAAAACTGTCTCATGTAATTGCACATGTGTATTTGCTTTAGTATTAAAAATTTCAAATCCAGTTACCACCAGGATAACTCTTCTGCATGCCATTTAACATTTGCCAGAATGCTGATAAATTGCTCCTTTTATAACTGAAAAATTGGATGTTTGATATACCAGTTCCCTAAAGCTGTGGAAATTGAAGGTATATGTTTTGATTTAGATGCTCAGCAATGATCACATAACAGTAACAACACCACCACCAGTGTTGTTTGAAATTCAAATATCTGGCAAATAAAACCGTGAGTTTTCAAGTCAGTGCTTGTATGGATCAAACTTATGCATTATGTAAGATCTGCACTGTTTACTACCATCTTCGTTGTTGCTTCTTATTTGGCTTATTCATCAACCCTGAAAATGGAGGCAAAATGTTCCTCCAAAATGTCGGTTGACTTTGAACAGAGTACATGATATTATATCCCAAAGTAGAAATTTTTATGCATAATGGTTTGGGCTGATTTGATGGAAGAAAATCAGCTATTCTGCCAGGATGAGTACTCTTAAAGGAACATATGTTTGATACTTCATTGAGTACTGGGTCCATGGCTTTATTCTGAGGGGTTCTGTATAAATTCACAGACATAAAGCCAAAATTTAGTACCAAACATGAAAAGTCAACCTCACAGATGTTTAAATGCCCTCATTCATCAGATCTTTTCTTATTACTAGTAACCAGCAAGACTTCCTAAGGATTTTTTCTAACTTTTCTTTTTACTAAATGTGGATATAAATGTGTTGAAAATGACTCAGAAACAGAAAGTAATTTTGGGTTTATTTCAGGTGCTGCACTTGGGACGGTTTTGTCTGTGCTATTCTCTGGCTTTATATATACGTGGCAGAGCTGGGAAGCAGTGTTCTATTGGATGGGAAGCTTGCCTGTTATTTGGTGTTTGCTCTGGGCATGGTTGGTGGAAGATGATACAACAAGGCAGCGCTACATAACCGAGAAGGAGCGTATTCTCATCCAGAAATCACTGGGAGATAAAGATACATCTCATAAGGTTTGTTGCTTATGTCCATGTATTTTCATTTTAATTTCTCATATAAGTGGTGTATGTGAGAAAGTATTGTGACTGAAATGTTGATGAATGTACATGGTTTCAGCACCTGTGATTATGAAAAAGTGTTTTCTGCTGTGCTGTTTGTATGTGTGTGTAGCTGTTCACCTCACTGGTACCTTAACAGATGAACAGATTTTATTCATATTCAGTATTCAATAGTTTATCCATCTTAGGCTGGTGCCTGAAGAATCTCTACATTCCAGCTACAAAAATAGGAGCCCCAAATTTGGTTCAGATAAACAAAATGGTGATTTTCTCAAAAACGGGTCTAACGATTTTGGTTAAATTTCATTAATCTGTGGAGAACATATTCCAAAATATAACTGCATAAGTGGTATTTTCAGGAGAAATGCACACTAGGGGCCCAAATATGAATTGTCAGTTTCCTCCAACCATCCTTACCAGTCAGCCAGGTTTAATTGTCCTTCAGAATTAAGCAGTGAACAATGCTCCACCAAGCATCAATCTGTTTTCTTTTTAAGGTAACATGGTCAAGGTCAGTCATATGCGAGAAAGTATGTGCAATGTCTTTGCACTGATTTCTTTACATATCTATGACTGGTGCTTCTGAGTTATAAATTGCTCCTCATTTTCCTGTCAGTTTTGAATATATTTATGATTACATTTGTTACAATACAGGGTTCTTCCTTGGTAGGCTGTGGGCAATGACGGATTACAGGTCTCACTGATAGAGCAGCATCACTTATTGCATGAGCACTTGCAGTGCTTTTAGGTGGTACATGATTCAAATCTTGGCCTGAAGACTGTTTATCCTGACTGGGCCTTTTGGTATGTTTTGCTGATTCCTACAAGTGAATTCCAGGATATAATTTCAAAATCAGCAAGTCGATTCACCATTCATCGTCATCTTGTTGGTACTAGAGATTTAAGCCCTTTTGATGCTACAGTACAAAGTGACATGGCTTCCCAGTCTCTGCAGTCTACAGGCACCAAGATGATCTTAAGTTCTACAGTGATAGTTAAACTACTGTCTCTCCTGTCTGCTGTTACATTTCATAGTAGCAGACATCAGCGGATGAAACAATTTCCATACAGAAGATCTACAATTCTGTAATTGTATTTGAGCTTTTGTTATATCACCCCATGCAGTCTGTGTTAAATTAATGCTCTCTAACCTAATCTGTGTCATCAGTATGGGCTATCTCTTGCAGCACTGCTTAGTTTGTCTTAGTGAGAATTTGATTCAAATGAATACAGTACTCAGTATCCAACAGTGAGCAACTTTCCATTTCACATGGCAAAAATAATAACGGTGGTGGTGAACAAGAGGATAACGATGTTAACTAAGATATTTTATAGTAGCCAAAAACCACCTGAAATATCTGGAAATAAATGTGGTTTGAATGTATACTTATTATAAGTTGGAATTTCCCTCAATGCTGGTACTGTTTACAAAACGTTTGTCAAGTATGAGTACAGTGAAATGGAACCTGGGCTTCCATTGAAAAGATACATAGGAGTGTTGTTTTAGAAATAGCCAACAACATCAGAAAGATTTATGTGGTATAACTTATAACAACTTGTGACACACAAGCTCTTTGGTTTCTAAGTAAATATTGACAGATGGGAACTGTAAATTGTAAAGATACATTTAATAATTAAAAGTCGATTGAACTACCATGTTTGTGTCAACTAAATAATCCAGTCAAAGATACAAATCTAAACTGATATAAATTATGTCAGTTACACTTTCATCACAATGATATTAATAATTTCACTACTCTGGCATAGTTAACAGATCCTGTTTTTTTTTTTTAAATTGGGTATGTCATGTGAAGGTGAGTTCAGTATTAAAGCAGGAGAGAGGCTTTGAGAGACATCTTACATCATGATGTTAAAGTCAACTGAAAAATAAACAGTGATGAGCTACAAGTTTTAAAGCATGGTGTGGTAGATTTGTCTATGTTTGTTGTTCATATCATACAAAAAATGTGATTGTAATGGTATCAATGTAGTTCAGAAATACTAAGCATTTGTACATTTTCGTTCACAGGGCCAGAAATCACACTGTAAGCACATTTCAGAGCTGGTGTTAGGAAATACATATATTGGGCTCTACTGGAACCGTTCTGTAGTGAAGTAAACAAATGTGAAGCAGTCAGGCGTATATTGGCTGAAGAGAGATAAGGAGAGAAAATGTTGGCATTTCAGTATCATTCCAAAGCAGTTATAAAAACGAAAATAATACTTATAGATAGGAAAGAAGATATGAGAGATATGTCATCAGTTTCAAGCATCTGTCATTGTCATGAAATTGAACCACACATTCTAAATAAGCTACTTAAAACTTGATACTTCTTAACTATAACAGCATTGTGACTATCAACATGTTTGCTGTAAAACCAGTTATGACATAAGCCTATTTACTCTAATATCTTTCCTTGACATAATTTGCCATATATTGGGAAGTAGTCCTATAATCTCGTTTGTCAACAATGTAATGATGAAACATTCACAATTCAAGTTTATTGCTTAGGACTCACTCTGAATTCATGGTTGGGGTAATCACTTCACTATAAGGTTAAAGAAGGGTGAAGTTGTCCCTGTGCTTAAAAACAGTGCCACAAAGTTGTGTGATCAGCAGTAATGCTTTGCCTATTTTTAAACTTGACACTGATTTGAGGTCACTAGTCAGCTTCTCCTTTTGGTCACATGACCTCCAGAAAGGAGCCCCTGCTACCCATTAGATAGGAGGCTATGTGGCCACATAGTTCGTTACTTCCTCAAGACTAACATTAAACTGTTACTGCTATATTTCACATTAAATTGACACTTTATAAATTCAGGAAAACAAAGGTTTATGTGATGTAGGTAAGGATTGAACATGTATATATGTTTCAAACGCATGTCCCAAGAAGGAGCTTCGCCTTAATGATATTGTCTGTTCTTGCCTGTTCACACTTGAAGAAAAATAAATATTTCAACTCACTTTAAATTCTAGGTTGGAAGAGATAATATTATTTATCACTTTTCAGATGCAACTACCATGGAAGAAAATATGTACATCTGTTCCATTTCTTGTCATTATGATTACACATTTCTGCAATAATTGTTGTTGGTATGTTCTCTTGACTGAACTGCCAAAGTATATGAGTCAAGTTCTGTACTTCAGAATGGAAGAGGTAAGTAATATTTTCATATTTTTTAGTTTATGACATAAGGTCTTATGAGCCTGAAGTGATGAATGGATGCACATATACAGATATTTATATTTGTACCTGCATAGCTGAACTGGAACAAATACATACATTAACAACACATCACCTTGTAAGTCATCCATTGTGGGTACCCCCTAAAATAGTATGATATATTTGTGTATATAATGTATGGAATTAATTGCTTTTGTTCTATGGCATATATATATATTGTGATATGTTGCGCAATGGAGGAAAACTCGTCCCTACCCAGCAGTGACATGGCGGGTGAGTCAGCACTCTGTCCCCCCCCCTCCGCACTGTGACATGGCACGCAACGCCACTGTCGACATGACGACAGGCAACAGTGGTACCCATTGCATAACAGGCAAGCGCTGCAACTATATAAGTGAACCACACTGCCTACGAAGCCAGTTGAAATGTGGCCATCGCCGAATTCAGTTGTTGCAGTTAGTTAAAAGTGTATCAGCGGCCAAAGACAGTTCTCCAGTCAGCAGTGAACGTGTTAGTGTGTGTTAAGGAGTGGCACCGTGAAATATAGCAGCCGCCAAAGACAGTGAGTGTGTGATACAGGGACACTTACATAGCTCCCGTATTGTAATTATACTGAAGACAGAGTGAAGAGATTATTGCGAATAGGGTTATAAAGTGTGAAACCCCGCAACAGTGTGAACAGATTATTGCAAATAGGGTTATAAAGTATGAAACCCTGCAACAGTGTAGAGAATTCAGAAGGACAAAAATCAAAAACAAAATGGGCAACATTCACATATATAGGAAAAGAAACAAGAAATACAACAAAAATATTTCGAGACACAAAATTGAAAATAGCGTTTAAAACTAAGAACAATTTACAACATATATTAAAATCAAGGCCACGAATAAATAAATATAGTAATAGTGGCATATATAGCATGAAATGCCTAGATTGCCCCATGGAATATATAGGACAAACGGGGAGGAAATTTAACACCAGATACAAAGAACACATATTAAACACAGGACATGCATATGGTACTATAGAAAACACTATGGATATCACAGCAACAAATAAGAAAGGACAATACTTAAACACAATGGAAAACTATCATATATACAGAACGACAAAGAAAAACACACATATGAACAATATAAATAAAGATATATATAACCCAATATTTCACGAATTACATACTATTTACTTACTATAGGATTCTGACGATGGTGTATAACACACTGATATGTTGGGTTTTTGTGACTTTATCCATCATCCTGGTTTTTAAGATAACAAATAAAAACACGACGTTTCGGAAACTTTCTAAGGGACCCAACTGAATAGGTGTTTTCCTTCACCTGAGGACGGAAACAGATCCAGTTTCCGAAACGTCGTGTTTTTATTTGTTATCTTAAAAACCAGGACGATGGATAAAGTCCAAAAACCCAACATATCAGTACATACTATTTACACAGAACAGCATAACAACACCCCACCTCCTACCCCCACAACATCATAACACAACCAAAATGAAGACAGCACACACACACACACACACACACACACAGATCCGGCAGTACAACGCATGCAGTAACAAGAGAAAAACACAACACAGAACACGGTGAGTATTAAATATTATAAAGCCATATGTAACAGATAAAAGTCAGAAAGTGGTATTAATGAATAACAATGTCACGTTACAGATACACAAAAATATGTAGGAAAAATGCTCACATAAAAGTGGATTGGCGTAATTCGTGTGTTTGAGTGCGACGTAGGAAGAATCCTGAAAAGTTTTATTATTTAGAATTCATCGTCCTATATGACGAATAGCATTATCATATGGGAATTATTTTATTTGTTCTGTTCCAGAATTCTCTTCTCTCATCATTGCCATACCTAACATTATGGATTTTCAGTTTGATCTTAGGAAAATGTCTGGATTTTGGGCGATCCAAAAAAGTGATAAGTACAACTGCAGCTAGAAAAATATCCACATTGTGTGGTGAGTAAAAATAATATAAATGAGAAAAATTGTAATTATTTGTACAACCTTAGTGAAGGTGTAACCAAAAAGCATTTTTCTGTTTGGGGGCTTATTATATATTTAGGGGATACAAACTGTGAATGTGTGCTGATATTGACTAGTCTTGGGTTTCTTGTGGTTTTCCTATGTATTCAAACAAAAATTTCAATATGCTGATTTATTTAAGGCTAACTGCATAATAAGATTACAGTCTTTAGGATGTGAATCTGTGTATTCTGGTGTAGGTACCAACATTTTGGAGGATTCTGCTTCTCCATCTGGAAGGCAGGAGATTTTAAATTTAATATTCACCACCATCAGAGCTCCAAATCTCATATAGCTTATAGTGTACTGCAGAATGATAATGAATTATGAATGGAGAAGAATGTAGAAGTGAATTCTTTTGGTATTTTTAAGGATAATAATGGTGTAGAGGGACTGAGGTTAGAAAAAGTATTTCGTGATAGCTGATCTCTGGGTCTGTACTTTCCTGTCACTTGTCTCATCAGATGCCATTGTGCTAATGTTCTCACAACACTCACATGTAAGAGCCAACATCGCAATGGAGTTGATATGTCTGCACATGCCGCATACTCTCTTCATCTTCACCGAGAACAATAGTTCACAGTGTTGTAACAATGGAAACAAACTGTACCTCTTGTTTCAGCTTCTGTGGTTCCTGCTGCATGTTTGTTGGCTGTCACATTTGTGAAATGTGAGCACATTGCAGTTGTAGCATTAATGACTATTGCTGTTACTGCTATGGGGGGAATGTTCTCAGGAGTACTGGCCAATCACATTGATATTGCTCCACAGTATGCAGGTATACATTTATACAAAGATTATTACACGTTTTTCTGATTTTCTTCATGTTTGTATGTATGCTTGCATGTGCATACATTGTGTCTGCATATGTGTATTTTTGGAGGAACAGCTTTGAAAGTCATATGCACCCGACTCTATTGAAAGAGAGATCTTGTAGAAAAATGACGCTTGCGAGCATTTGTAATTTTTTTATTTATTTTATGCCAGAAGTTCTTATATAATCTCTAGTTATGTTACCAGACATACAAATTAGTGACTATTAATATTTATGCAGGATTCACCAATAACTTTGTTGGTGTATTTTGAATTAACCTCAGGAATGCGATTAATAATCTTTATTTCAAAAACTGCATTATTAAAGCAAGAAGCTTTGAGAAGAAAGTTTTCTTTAAATTGTTTCCCTTTGTGTTGGGAATGCACTGTCTTGTATTAACTTACTCTGACAAGGACCACTTTAGTATGTAGCAGTCTTTTTAGTACATATGGATGAAAGATATATAAATTTATATCATCACTTTAGTATTCAGAAGGTTTTTTGTATGTTGGATGTAACAATATACATTTTTGAGAACACAGGTGATTCGTGAAACAGTTTTTATGTCTATTCTTCATCTGACTATCTAACCAGCGTTTCTCAACTACTACCATGCTGACAGGCATGATTTGCAGTAAGCTTTTACCAGTCTGAAGAACTTTTACTACCACAGGTCTCTTCTTTCTAAAAATTGTTGGACCAGTTGATTCATCATCATCATCAGTAATCTGTCAGACAACAGGTCCACAGTCTCTTCCAAAACAATTCCTCCACTTAATGCGATCTAGAGCTTTCTCCTTCAAATGACAGTATCCTCTTCTGTCCCCAAGGTCATCCAGCATCTTCTTCCTCGTCTTCTTGTCACTTCTATCCGCCCCTCTATCTTTCCTTCAATAACTTCTTTTAGAAGGCAGTTTCTGCGTAAAACATGACCAATCCAATTAGCCTTCCGTTTTCTTATTTTGTGTAGGATATTCCTCTGCTCACTGACTCACATTGATTCATGTGAAAACAAATGCCTTACCTCATAGGCTCCCTCTGGACATTGTGTATGTAGGATAAACACAATGTATATTTTAAAATTTTATATATGTTTATGACTGTATAATTTGAATGGTCCATATTACAGAATTTAAATATTTTGCTGGTCCACAGTTGAGTCTGTGCTGAGGAACACTGTTCTAAATGAGTAACACAGATGTTAGAACTGGGGTGTAGCTGGATATTGTGGCATGGTATTGAAGTAATGGTATGAGTTTGTCAGAAGCAAATAGACTAATACATCTCCACCTTCTGCTTCATAGTGAAAGGTTTACACTTGGTTAAAAGGAAGTCAATTTAACTTTGAACTCTTTTGTGAAAGGCTAAGTGATAATAGAATGTAATGCACATAAAACTACAGAATTTATAAAAGCCTCTTTGTGTGTGGTTCAGCAATTGTTTTAATTGATTCCATTATCATTTTATTATACAAAATTATTAATTTGTGAAAATTATCTGTTAAGTTGTGTAAGTTGAATATAATTCACCGGTGTTCCATATGTATATGTCTAAATGGATGAACACATGTAAATTAAAGAATTATTTACTTAATTAAATAACAAATTAATTAGTTGCAATGATGTTTTTTTACTGCATGTATTAATATACTTTGACATAACTAAAAAAAAAATATTGAAGTTACAGAAAAAGTTATAGTTTGAGGATTTTCAAGTGTCCTGAGTCAGGTTCTGGTGTCTGAAATATAAAATGTCTCAAAATGTTGCCTGACTCCTCATTTTAAATATATACTTTTAAAGAACGTTCTCTCTGTATGTGTTACATAGATTATCCAGAACAGAAGTTGGCCGCAGAATGTCAGAAGTCTGATTCATTGCTGGCTCACTGCATTTGAATATAAAATTACATTAAAAATATAAAAGTGAATTAATTACTATAATTATACCAGGCAAGTTGTATAATATAAAAGTGTAATTTTGACTTATTTCTGAATGTTGAATAAGTATGAATATAATTTAATTTCAGGGAAGCATTACTTTCATGATAATTAGTTACTTCCATATTACTAATTTATCTATTCTACTTATTGTTTCAGGAACACTGATTGGGATCACTAACACTTTTGCCACAATTCCAGGAATCCTTATACCTATTTTTGTTGGAGAAATTACTCACGCAAATGTATGTACCCAGAAGAGCGACCTCCATAGTCTAGGGGTAACGTTCCCACCTCATGACTCAAACCCAGCGGAGGTCGTGGAATTTTTAAAGGCGGAAAAATTCAGGGAACAAGTTCTCCGGGTGGGACTTTAAGCCGTGGGACTTTAAGCCGTGTGTCCTGTGTTGTAGATTTATGGTGCGTAAAAGATCCTCATGTCTCTAGGAGACCTCTGAGCAAAATTAGGCAAAAGTTTCCCGCCCAAGTAGTTTCCAATTCCTCCGGTAGATGGGGAAGTATCGGGAACCACTGCCAGAGAGGGCCAACCTCGCTAGCAGAACGGGGCTGATAGCGAGCACCAGTACTGGAAGGGCATGGGGACTAATAGCATAATAAAAGGGGGACGCACAATAGATCAACAAATGGTCGCAGTGCATAAGGAAACCTGCCCCCTCCAAAATAATAATAATAATAATGTACCCAGAATAAACGTGAATATTATGTAAGGGCCCTTAAATATTCAAATGTGTGAGAACTTATTGACAGATCAACAGTAGTCATGCTGTTACACAGATTAATCCTGTATCAGTCATTAAAACTGTATTTGCTCACTTGCTTGCTTTCTTGTTGGAATTAAATGGCGCACAGGAAAGCCTAACATGCTGACTCACTTTATTTAAAATTCAGTAAATGCAGGTATTCATGAATTCTACTTAGTGTTATATAAAATATGTTACTGTTCCAATCTACCAGCTCATTTTTCTGTTTGGTCACTGTTGTTTTCTTTTCATTATCCTTGTTCTGTAAGATAGTGTTGTTGAGACCATGAATGCCACCTAATTCCTCTTCAGAGCAACAGGGAAAATATATAAAAGAATTATATACTTTATATATTATCACATGATTGAGTGACTATAGATGGGGTTTGGATTGGTAATTGGATTTATTGGACACTTACACTCACAACTACAAATAACTATGACAGTCTCACTCCAAAGATCACTGTAACTACAGCACACATAAAGTCTCAATCTTCACTAGCAGTTGATTGTAGTGGCTTCCTATAGCAGATGTTCCCCTTCCTCTGAGTTCCTGAACTGTCCCTGGTCTCAGCCATCAGCATCTCACTTCTCAAAGCTCAACCGACTCAACAGCACCTGAACTACTAGTCCTCGTTACCTAGCCGCAGGATGAACCACACAGAAAACGTCTCTTCCATTATTATATGTTCTCTGATTGCTGGGGAAACAGTGCATCCACAGAGCCGTTCCTTAGCAGCAGCTGTTGTAATGTTGCCTGTTTACACAGCTGTTACTTGGAATTGTGTGTACATGTGACATTATATTTGATGTGTGTGAATTATTGTAGACATAATTATGACAATTTCAGACTGTGAGATCTAAGGAATGAAGATAAAGATTTTTTCTTCTAATCATAATATATTCAGATATTCAGATAAGAGACCAATGGTATCAGTTAACACATCATGATTATTATCACCACATGCTTACCCTGTGTATTCACAAGCTGCTTTAAATGTTGCTTTATGCAATATATTGCATGTAATAAGTAATTAGCTATGAAACTGCCCTGCTTTGAGATTGGGCCGTAACAAATGTTGGAAGCATTTGACATGCTTGTTCAGGTATATACAGAGTGCGTCAATGAATCGGGCAATTTGGCAGCAGTGTTTTTTCTGGATTGTTTGGAGTGGGGAGGATGCCACTAATGCCACCCACTAGCCTACTTCAAAGTGTTTTAGTTGCAATGGAGAGGCGAACTGGAGCACAATGTTTTTTTGCTGTGAAAGCGTTTTACAAAAACGGTGACAGTAACGTGATCATTCAGTGTGAATTTCGAAGAGAGTTTGGTATTCATCGCAGTTGTGCTGTGCCATCTGCCCATGCCATCAAGACCTTGGCTCAGAACGTTGAGGCTACTGGTTCTACACTAAAGATGAAAGGATGAAATGTAAAAACAGCATGTACACCCGAAAATGTAGTGGTAGTGAGAGAAGCCATTGAACGAAGTCCACGCTGGTCTGCACGTCGCCACACTACATCACTTGGGCTGTCCAAAGCCAGCATTTGACCGATATTGCACAAAGATCTCCACTTCTACCCCTATAAAATTCAAATTACTCATGCACTACACAAACATGACTATGAAAACAGAATTGATTTCTATCAAACATTTTTGCAATTAATTAATCAAAACCAAGATGTCATTAACAACTTACTGATGAGTGATGCAGCTCATTTCCATTTATCGGAGTTTGTTAACAAGCAAAATATTCTCTATTGGTCAGCCACAAACTCCAAAGAAATTTATGGGAGACCACTTCACAGTTCCAAAGTCACAATATGATGTGCAATATCTTTGCTTAGCACTATTGGCCCGTACTTCTTTGAAGATGAGTGGGAAAGGGCTGTAACTGTGACTGGACCATATTACATTCACATGTTGGAGAGCTTCTTAGCTCCTGCACTTGCTCGTCTCCCAGTCAACGAAGAAACGTTTTTACAGCAAGATGGGGCTACGTGCCACACTGCACAAACTTCCATGGAAGTTGTGAATAACCTGTGTCATAACCATGTTTTCTCGAGATATGGGGACATCATATAGCCAGCCAGGGCACCTGATCTTTCCACATGTGATTTCTTTCTCTGGGAGTATCTGAAATCCCAAGTTTTCAAAGCCCCAGCACCATACACAGTTCAGAAGTTGAAACATCGAATTTGGGAAGAAGTTGAATGAATTCCCATAGAGGTGCTGCAAAGAGTAATGAGTGACTTTAGGAAGAGACTTGCCGAGTGTCTACAGCGGAATGGTGGTAATGTGTTGGATGTTATTTTTGGGAAACAAACTTCTGTTTTCAGTTAGTTAATTGAGAGAAACCAAATGCCTTTATGTTTACACTGTATTCATATGTATTAAAACTAAAAAGCTTTGAAATAGTCTGCTGGGTGGCAGTAGTGGCATCCTCCCCACTCCAATCAATCCAGGAAAAAAACATCGTTGCCAAATCGTCTGATTCATTGACACATCCTATATAATGAGCAATTTGACTGAAGCAGTAACATTTCTGACTTCTATTTTGGAGATGACCAATTCAAATTTTGGCCAGAACCTTGACTATCCAGATGAGGTTTCTCATGGTTTTTGTCAACCCCTCCAGGCAAATGCCAGGATAGTACCTTAAATTAGACCATTACCACTTCCATCCATATCCTTTGAAATTCATTATTCATTAAACATCCAGTACTATACAGTCTGAATTACTGGCAGCATCATTAAATAAACTACAAATACATATTATCCAGTTATAAAGTAGAGGTTTTCCAAATTATGCGGAGAGGTTTATATTTCTGAAGTTGCAGCACTGTTGGTATTGTTTAAGTTCTTCGTCATTCAACAACTTGTACTTACATGTATGTCATTCTCATTGTAATGTCATAATGTATCTTAGTCTAATATCAGAATGACAAGGTTTTTAAACAAATGAAAGACATCATACAGAGGAAAGCTGTTAACAGTACCAGGAGCCAGGATAGCTCATTTGGTATAGCAACAGGCTGCAGGCTGGGCGGCTGAGTTCAATTCCTGGCAATGCAAAATTTGTCTCTTCTCCTCAGCATTGAAACTGGCTCTGAGATCCACCCAGCCTCTTATTCAGTGGATACCGGGCTCTTTCCCCGGGGGGTAAAGCAGCAGGGTGTGAAGCTGACCACTTACCTACATTTAGTGCCAAGGTCAATAAAAGTGGAGCTGTACTTCTAAAGCCCCATAAGTTTTCATGACATTGTGCTTAATGAATTAAGCACAAGGACAGCTTTACCTTCACCTTTACTAGAACAGCAGTAGTATACAGATTGTGGAAGAAATACAGTATTTGATATTAAGTATTGATTCTTAAGAGATCAAGATTATATATTATATTTCTGTTACAGCAAACAACTGAACAATGGAGCATTATATTTTATACCATAGTGGGCATACTGGCTTTTGAGGCAGTAGTGTACTTGACTTTTGGCTCTGGTGAAGAACAATCTTGGATCAGATCAAATGAGACAGTAATGTCTACAGATAACAACACAGTAGATCCAGAGTTGCAGAAGAACCAAGAATCTAAGGAAATTACAGAATTGTGAAGGTGCATTTACTCTTGAGGTAAGCATCTACTTGTCCTGTGATTCATGTAGTATGGTTAGTAGAATTCAGAAAAAAATAATTATAAGAAAGTACTATTTTATAAAATACTTTAGATATAAGATTTTAATGACAGTATATCTAAATTGGATTCGGCGAAAGACAAGCTCTTCATCATCAGAGTATGGTTTCACAAAAATATTGATGACAAGAGAAGAGCAGTATATATTTTGTGACATGCAGATCCATTTCTGGGTGGTGCCTGAAATACATGCATGCAACGATAGAAAAGGTATTGGAAGAAGTGTTTTCTTTGTGGTCCACTCCATGTCCAGTGCTGAGCAATGGGCCAATGAATATGCATTCTGGCAGCAGAAGAGGTATTTTCTTTGTTGTCCTTGCCATGCCCAGTGCTGGGTAACAGGACAACAGGCATGCATTCTGACATGTGACACGTTTTCCGTGAGGTCTGACCCAAGTGTATATAACAAGAGGTGAACAACAGTGCAGGATTTCAGTTGAAGGTTCAGCTGTGGAGTATTAACCAGCAGGCAATGGAAGCTAAGATTCTGTACCAGGAAACGTCTACTGAAGATTTTGCAGAGGAATTGCCATTGCAGAGAGCTGTTACCAAATAATGACTAGTGGATATAGACTGAGAAAACTTAGTGTGAAGTGATTTGTAGTATAGAGATCAGCATTAGTGTTATAATTATTTGTACTTATGACCTGTAAGGGGTCATTAAATCTATTCACCTATCCAAACCCCGTATGCAGTCACTAATACATGTAACAATACATATGTGTGCATGTGTATATATATTGTCATGATAAATAAATTCATGCAGATCTCAGATTTGGAGAATATGTTTATTGAACACTCGCTTTTACACTAGCGAGTACAATTATTATCACTTTCAGTATCACAATTACTACTTCTGCTATATTCAAAGCCAAACTGAAGACTGACTACTCTTCTAAGGTCAGATGCAAACTGAACTGGTCTCGGCAACTTCTAGCACTCCACTCTCTGTCTTGCACATTCAACCCCCTTAAATGGGCCTTTTGCGGACCACTTATGGAACACCCTTCTCAACAGTTTGGTTTTCCCCTTGTCATACAACACTTCAAATAATTCGTTGTAACCATGGAAACTCTCTGTTAAAATTCCAATGCTGCATTCCATTCTGCTGTGTAAGAAATGTTATTCATTGACCACCCACAAACGCTGAAATATGCTCCATAGTCCGGCTTTTAGGAAGCACATCACAATAAATATATATAACTACAACCTGTCTTCATGAAGAGATGATCACAGACTTTAAGAACCTTGAACTTTGAAATAGATATGCATGACAATTATTAGTAAGTATGTACAGAGTACATTCACAAGATAAATAAATATGGATTAAATACAAAATTTTATAGAACTCCAGTATCCTATCTTATCCACCGGTATTTTTGTAATAGTTTATTTATTATGTAGCATGTTAACTGAAATATATGTTTAAATTACAATTAGTAAATATGAAATATTTCACAAAGGAAAGTGAAGAAAAGGGGTATGCATTACATTGATCATATTCACTTTCTTAAAATACATTTTACGAAACATATTTAAAGATTCAGCAGGATATGATTTTATTGGTGTCACAGGTCTGACTTCTCAGTTTGTTTCTGAATACGGATGACACAAAGATACGAATTTAGTACCTTCTACTTTTGTGAGAACTTCTTACGAAGGATGAAGATGAACTGCTTTTGTATTCTAGTCTTACCCTGGTATATTATAGAGCTGTAGTGGATCTGTGTATTAAATAATTGACATGGATGACACTTGTAAAATTCACAAAAAAATTGGAATAAAGTGAACTACCCTTTTAACTTATGCTCCTTTTCTTGTTACTGTTTTGCCAGTACAGCCTCTAAATCTTAAGGCAGTGTTAATGCATACAGTTTTAGTAATCCAGTTAGAATAATTGAATGTTTTATGTCAAGAAATAATTAATTATAATTCCAGCCTGTTTAAACCTGGTGTGTGCCAATTAAATGCGTGTAGCTGTTAAAACTTGTACCTTTGGTTTAGCTTTCCAGTCACATATTTGAAACTCATGAATTGACATAATTAATTTCGTATCTAGGCTATGGGCTGGACAACCACTGAATCAGGATTCAATTTCCAGCAGTAATAAGAAACTTCTCCCTTTCTCACAACATCCAGACCTGCTCTGGAGCCCACTCTGGCTCTTTCACCAGGGATAGGGTAGCCGTGTAATCAAGCTGACCACTCATGTCCATCTAGTGGCAAAGTTAAGAATGCATGGGTCTACACTTCTGTGTCTTCATGACATGATGCTTAATTAAAAACAGGGACAGTTTTACTGTTACCTTTACCAAAGCACATGAGCGAGCTGTGAATTTCATCACTTACGACAGTCAAATATGCCAGTCATTTTCCAGCTAACTAACTAACTAACTAACTAATTAATTTCATGGAGCTGAGCCCTTCTTGAGAAACCCCAGGTTGTGTGGCTACTAAAGAACTTCCCAGCAATTATGGAACCTGAAAGTCCATTATCATGTTCATACAAGCCCTCCACTGGTCTCTATCCTGAGCCAGATCAGTCCAGTCCATACCACTGCATCCTATTGCTCTAAAATCCCTTTTAATATTATTCACCCTCCTACGTCTTGCTCTTTCTAGTGATCTGTTTCTTCCTGACTTTCCAACCAATATCCTATATGCATTCCTCTTCTTCCCCATTAGTGCTACATGACCTCTCCATCTCATTCTCCTTGACTTGATCATTGTAATTATACCTTTTGAAGAGTACAATTTATGAAGCTCCTCATTTTGCAGTTCTCCAGCTACATGCCATACAGAAAAAAAAGGAATACAGTTCATTTAGTGCATGATACAGTGGCCAGTAGAATACTGATTGTCACCCCATCTATTACTTAGTGGAACCTTTGATGCAACAAGTTGATTGGAGGGCATTTCTTGGATGTGTTATGTCTTTAAATGTGTGTAAATCAAATTATGCTATATACTAGTAATGAAACCCAAGACAGTGATTTGTCTCTGCCTAATTGTTATCTTTAAATGCTTAATTTTGTATTCCATCATGACCTTGTGTCATATGCAGGTAAGAACACTTATCATAGAAAGTAATACTGTGAGGCTGGAACAGGCCATGGGTTCTGGTCTACAGGTTGAAGGTTTTTTTTTTCGTTTTTTTATCAAACACAAATGATAAATGTATAAAGTGTGAAATTTCTGTTTAGCCCCTTTTTTATCCTCCACGTTTCTCTAAACTTCTCATTCGCAGCACCCGTAACAAGTTACATGAAATGTGTCTCTAAAGCAGAGTTCTGTTTTATAAATTATAAAACTTCAGATTGAGTGATATGATTTTATTACTTGTGATAAATCAGCCATTTTGCCCTATTTCCTGTTTATTCGTAATTATGGCCACCTTGCTGAACTGCCATTGCTAGTTACTGACTAGTACATTTTCCTCTTTTCATGCTTTTAACTGTACTTTATTTGGGGCTTCGCGTAATCACTGTGTTAGCCGTCCTTTTGCACCTTCGTAGTTGATAGGGTGACGTTACATGGTCTGGGAACCACGTCAAGGTGCTTTGGAGTAGGAAGAGGACAATGTCCTGGGTTTGAGCTATGAGATTATTTTCAGGGCTTAACGGGCCTTGCTTCGACGCAAGAGGTTTTCTTGGTGAAGAAGTCTCTGGCCCACACTTAGAGTTGATACAATGTTACACTTCCTTTATTGATAACACTACTCACTTACAAGCAGCAGTCACTTGCAATTACAGTTCTACTTCTGGCACTCACTGTACACTACTTCAAGATACACAACACTGTGTTACAGTATGGTAGATGATGTACGTCAGTCTCCCAGCCTGGTATCTCAATGAATCTACATGTCTACTCACTGATTACCCAACTGATTGACTAATACTGCTCTGCTTGTCTGTTACTTATCTGTTATTTATCTGTCCTCACCATCCCGGATCAATCCTTTAAATACTGTGAGATGGTGTAACACCCAGAACTCTCACTTTCTAGATCATTCTCGAAGCTTCTCAAAGCTTCTTCTACTGTTTCATAGTTCAAGAACATTCTAGAAATTTCTTTTATGAGACTGGCAGTGGGATGGGTAGTCATTCATATATTAAAGAACCTTCTAGTAGCTATATCAGTACATTCCTTACCCTGAATTCTTAGAACACTTAATGCAAAACTGGGCATAAGTTATGTTTAGTGTAAAATTGATACTAAGTAACAAATATAAATTTCTGAAATTTACTCCCCTAGGTAATGATCAGTTACATGCTCTACATCTATTTAAGCTAAAAAAATAAGAATAGTGCTGCCCTATGATGCTGAAAACTTTTAAAATTAGCTGAAACTGATGGAAAGCATTGAAGTCTAGAGCCTTCATTACATAGTGAGACCAGAACAAGCCCCATTCTTCATGTCTTGCCCCTGTGCTTAACTAAGTACCACCCCATGAAGATACATTCCTGTGTTTAATTAAGCACCATGCCATGAAGACATACAAGTCAGTGAAGATATAGCTCCTTGCATTTTTATTCTTAGTACTAGGTGTTAGTGGGGAGTCTGCTTCGCACCTCAATGACATTACATCCAAGGAGAGAGCTCCTGATATGTATTGGATACAATTCTGGATGGGTCCCAGATCTAGTTTGGATAGGGTTGTGGAAGTAAAAGTCCCCACTTCTGTCAGGAATTAATCCCCAAATATCAAGCTCATACTCTAGTCTCTTTACTAAGTGAGCTACCAGAAAGTAAAATTGTCAAGTCAGGTTTGAATGCCATCAAGTTAATGTTTTCATGAGTTCAGTACAGGACCATAATTTGTGGAACGTCATGGACACAATGAGAGTCCTTGAATTATCACCTCAGACAGCGGTCACAGAATTTGTGCCTGAGAACAAAATTGTAATTTTGAGTTGATGAATTTATTTTTTGTCCTTGGATGATAATTTTGAATATCTCTCTTTGACTGATAATTCTTATTACTGTGAGACTGTTTAGTCTGTAATAAGTAATATGAAATTTTCTCTCCCTCCCTCTTTCCCCCCCACATTTTTTTGTGTTGTATCTGTTTGGTAATTTCTAGGAGACAATATGTGGTTTAATGCAAAAAATTACCTTTTTCTTTTTACAGGCCTTATCTCATGAGGCCAGCTGTTGGTCTGTGCCGATGATGTGAATCTACTGGGTGATAATATAGATATCATAATGAAAAACACACAAACTTTAATTGATGCTAGTAAGGAGGTTGGTCTAGAAGTAAACACAGAGAAAACTAAGTATATGTTACTGTCTCGTCACCAAAATGCAGGGCAAAATCGTGACATAAAGATAGAAAACAGATGTTCTGAAACTGTGTCACAGTTCAGATATTTGGGAACAACGATAACAAATCAAATCCTGATTGAGGAGGAAATTAAGAGGCGATTGAACTCGGGTAATACTTGCTATCATTCAGTCCAGAACCTTTTGTCTTCTCGTCTGTTGTCCAAAAACATAAAAATTAGAATATACAAAACTATAATTTTGCGTGTGGTTCTGTATGGGTGTGAAACTTGGTCTCTGACATTAAGGGAGGAACACAGACTGAGGGTGTTTGAGAACAGGGTGTTAAGGAGAATATTTGGATTGAAGAGAGATGAAGTGACAGGAGGCTGGAGAAAACTGCATAACGAGGAGTTTCATAACTTGTACTCTTCTCCAAGTATAATTAGAATGATCAAGTCAAGCAGGATGAGGTGGGCAGGTCATGTAGCACGAATGGGGGAGATGAAGAATGCGTATAGGATATTGGTGGGAAAGCCAGAAGGAAGAGACTACCGGGAAGACCAAGGCGGAGGTGGGTGGACAATATTAAGATGGATCTTAGAGATATAGGATGGGATGGTATGGATTGGATTGATCTGGCTCAGGATAAGGACCAGTGGAGGGCTCTTGTGAACACGGTGATGAACCTTCGGGTTCCATAAAATGCTGGAAAATTCTTGAGTAGCTGCAGATTTGGCTTCTCCTCAAGAAGGGCTCAGCTCCATAAGTAAGTAAGTATCCCATAATGCACTATGGTGGTAAAGAAAATAACAGAAAGATGTGCATTGTCATAACTTCTAAGAAAGAATGATTCAATATTTGCTTCTTTGCAGTTACTAATCTGGTATGTACATAGTTGCAAGCATTAAGTATAAGGTTACTGAAATTGTGATATTAATTCTTAATAACTTTAATTCAACACATTTTGAAGCTTGTGACTACATATACACATAAAACTGGTGTTTTAGTAGTTATACAATCTTTCTTTCGCTGATTATATTTATTACACCAAGCTTTACATAAACAAAACTGTATGGACATGCATTTAAATACTGCATGAATCTCACCATTCGAGAGTTTACAGAAATCTTGTCATGAAACATGTTGCACAATAACCTTCTCTAACCCCTATGATCAGTTTTAGTTCAGACAGTTTGAAGGTTTGTGGTGCTTCTTGTACATTCAGAAGATTTTCCCTTCATTTTTTTCAGTATGTTGGCTTTTGACCCCATTACCCTCTTGTCAGTTCACTTACACTAGCACAAGCCTCGTTGGTGAAAATAACTTTGTATTTTAGCGTCCTGTTGCACTGATTCATATTCATAATGTGTATATATTAACAGTCTTCAAGTGCATACAATCCGATATACCACTTCTACACTACATGTTTCGGCAGTATGCTGCCATCTTCAGGTGTATCGATCCATAAACCATTTCTCTGCTTGCCTTTATAAGTCCATTTACAAATAATATTACATTTGTATACGTCCTTATATAATAATAAACTTTATGTATTTAAAAATTGTTAAAACCTATTATCTCTCTTAAACTTATGTGTATTATTGATCATCCACGAAGGACCCCCTTGTGAAGATGATTCGCATTTCACATAATTATACTGAGGCAAGTAAATTATATGTCATATCAACGGCCATACCATGTTGAAAACACCGGTTCTCGTCCGATCACCGAAGTTAAGCAACATTGGGCGTGGTTAGTACTTGGATGGGTGACCGCTTGGGAACACCACGTGCTGTTGGTTTTTTTTTCTTCTCCTTTTTGTCGATCACAGTTGCCGCGTGACCTAAGGCATGAGCTATCTTGACTTTTCGAACCCTGGGCTCTTGGGTTCGAATCCCACTCGAGGGATGGATGTCTGTGTACATTTACTGTGTTTGTGTTGTTCTGTGTGAAGGTAACGGCCTTGCAAACGGCTGATCCCCTGTCCAAGGGGTCCTACCGACTGTGTATGGATTAAGATACTGAAATGGCGGCCAAGGTCCACAAGGGCTGTGGAACCATAGATTGACAGATAGCTACAATGACTCATTGCCTAATATCAAATCGAAAATATTTCGCCTGTAAGTAATCTTTTACTTTAGATAAATTCCGTAATAAAAGGCAGAGTTCAATCATATAAACGATAACTTATTTTGTATTTGCCACTGATTTGACTGTATAAAAGAAGGTAAATTTGCCCTTGTGCCTAACTAACTATGCTCTAAGCTCTGAAAATGTATGGGAGAGTGGATGTACGAGTATAGGTCTATGTATTCTTGACCTCGGCACGAGGTTGAGGTGAGTGGTCAGTTTCACTCCCCGTATAAATCTTCTTCTTCTTCTTCTATGGCGCAACAGCCCGATGTCGGGCCTTGGCCTCCCTTATCTATCCTGCGCTGCTCTCTTCCAGTTCCTTAGGCCCATTAACTTTTCTTTGGGATACGCTCCTTATCAATTCTCTGTACATGACCAGCCCATTGCAATCTTTTAAGCTTTATCGTCACTGAGATCTCTGGCTCCTTATATAATTTGTATAACTCTTTATTGTATCTTATTCTCCATATCCCATTCTCTTTTATTGGTCTATAAATTCGTCTTAGGATTTTCCTCTCTATGAAGCATAGGTAAATATCTATATTAAATTCCCAGCATTTCTCCGTTATTTGTATCAGGGTGAATAAATTGTCTCTTGTTGACCTATTCGGTCGAAATCCTGATTGATATTCCCCTATTATTTTTTCTATATATGGATCCAGTCTCTTTTTTAGTATCCTTGTTAAAATTGTATATGCTGTCGGTAGGAATGATATACCTCTATAGTTCCTACATGTTAATTTATCCCCCTTTTTAAATATGGGACATATAATGCTCTTTCCCCAATCTTCTGGTATCTTTCCTTCTTCCCACACTTTATTTATAATTCTGTGCAGTGCTATTATTCCTTCTTGTCCTCCTGCCTTCAATAATTCTGCTGGTATGTTATCTCCTCCTCGTGCTTTATTTAGTTTTTGTTCCTTTAATGCTTGTTCCACTTCTTCCTTTGTTGGAGGCTCTATTATCTCTTCCTCTTCCCCTTCTCCATCATCTGTATTTTCTTCTTCATTGTCCTCGTTATCTTCCATACTCTGATTTTGATGTACCGTATAAATCAGGCGTTTGAATAAATGTGACAGACTCCGTGGCTTGAGGCCGGAAGTGAACTATACCGACCGAGCGATCGCCGCATGCCGGCGAAGTTAATGCCAACTTTAGCGGATAGTGGATATCACGTGGTTAGTGCAACGAATCCTCACTCCCGTTCATCTCGGTTTTCTAGACCGGAGCCGCTATTTCCTTGAAATAGCTCCTCAATTATCCTCAGGAGTCTGAGTGGACCCAGATCCAGACCCACTACTTCTCAGAAAATGTGGTAGCGCCGGGAATCGAACCCGGACCTCTGGATGCGTAGGCAGGAACTCTGACCACTAGGCCACAGAGGCGGTCATAAATGTAAATGACAAAGATGAAAGCGCTCGGATTGATTTGCTTCTGTATTACTCGTATTCTCGAAAATGGTGGGAGTTAACAAAGTTACTATTCCACGTACGTAAACAACAATAAAACTCACTTGAGCTGTTCTCATTATACACTGGTATCTGTGTTGGATCAGTTGGCGTTAATGGTCGAACGACCTTGACATAGTACTTTCACATCTAGTGCAAATAAAAGAAAGACAGGGGAATGAGATACGGCAGAGAGGAGAGGGAGATAAAGAAAGTAGATTAGCGATTTTCCGTTGAGTGCTCAATGGGCTTTCTGCACTAGTCCATTTTAAGATTAATCTGTTTTCCGTTAAGTGTCTGCGGCAAGTTTAGTACTGGCTGCGCCCCAGCGGTAACATGTCGGATTCGAGTACGCAGCAACGGTGACTGCGAAGAGTACTTTCATCTGGGACGTAACGCCATGTCATTCAGTAGTTCACCGACTTCCCCCCGAAACGTCGGTTCATTTCTACCAAACTAAATGGCTTACAATCGAGGAGACAATACTTTTCTTGTAACAGCTTACTGAAACCCATATACTCTTAAGAAACGCTTTATAGCATATTAGAATCGTAATTGGTTTTATTTATGAAGTGTAGGTTGAAAAGATAGCAGATCTATCTTACAATAATTTTATAATGCATATAGGTATATGGTTTCATGTTCATATGTGTGTATCCGCTAATTTCAGTGATGTTGATATAAATGTCACGCTCTTTCAGCCTTCCCGGCCTCTCTGCTTTAGTCCTCTACTTTCCAGTTAGTACAGATGTAAAGAAGCTGGGACTTGATGATCATTCCACTTCTTGTAGTGCCGAGGTTAAAAATACGCGAACCGTTACTTCCACTTCCCAGTATGTCTTAATGGCATCTTAACTTACGCAGGAATAACTTTGTATCTTTCTTTTTTTTTCCTTGGCACTACAGCCCCAGTGGGCCTAGACCTACCTCCATGAATTTCTCCGTTCACTTCGGTTTTTCTAGATCTTACACATTCGGTAGGACTCCTTGGGCGGGTGATCAGCTCGTCACAAGGCCTATACCTGTACACAAACACAGAAAAAAACACACACACATACATACACAGACACACAGAACATCCATGGCCTGAGTGGGATTCGAACCCACAATCCCGGCTTCTAAGCGAGCGAAGACAGTACATTACTTAGACCGCTCGGCTACCGTGACCGAATAACTTTGTATCTTGCCTTCAATAATATTACGAGGGATAGTCAGTAAATAGGTCACAAATGAAAATAAACAGCTGGAATGGATGTAATAGGATTTCTGTGTGTATCACTGAGTAGCAGCAAAGTCCAGCTTCATGACAGTCTAGGCATCAGACGCCCATGCGCATGTTCAGAGGCTGATTTCAGTAATCAAAATTGCGACCGTTCTTGAAGTGTACTACTGAAGATCAACATTCCGTTGTGTGTTTTCTTTTTTGGGGTAAAACGACACAATGCAAAGGATATTTATAAAGAAATGTTTCCTGTTTATGGTGGGAAAGCGATGAGACAACTGTATCAGAGTTGGTGGAGGATATGTCTAGAACCAAATGTTTTTTACAGGTTAGAATATCACATGTTTTACGTTTTATATCCATTTATGACCTATTTACTGACAAGCTGGTTAGAATGTATCGCTTCTGAATTGAATTCATGAGGCGCCCAGTTCGAATTTTGACTGAAACACCAACTACAGTGATTGAGGTTTTTCATGATTCCGCTTAGTCCTTTCTGACAAATTCCGCAATTTCAACTCAAATTAGGCTACGTCTGTCTTCTTCCAAATCCTTCCATGTTTATTATTTACGAATCTCAGTACCATTCGATGCTGTATTGTATCACTTACTGACAGCGGCGATGACTAAACGCGTTGGTCGTGAAAGCTTCTGGAATGAAACGAGCAATAAATTAGTATCAGTTTAATGCAGGTCTTGCGAGTTAGTTTGTGTCCGAGAAATGTAAGTTCTGTTTTTATAGGGACATAAACTCCGTACGTTGTTCTGGAACGTTCTTTACAGAGCATCGATCTACCCTTGCCACATATTCTTCGTTGTTAACTGTTTCCCTTAAGCTTCCGTCCAGTTGAGAAGAAATCTGATGCAAGCCAGCGTTAAAAATAAAATTCCACGGAGCAGTATGGGTTGGGCTCATTTCGATGACGCCTTCAGCTCCTTGGAGCACTTGTCTTGTTTTTTGATAGTATGACTTTAGTGTTTAAATAACATTAACAGTCGTGTTTCTTCCAAGAAGCACAAACTGTTGATGTATCCTATGTTGCTAATGTGCTAACACGACATTATGTGAACACATTTTCAAGAGACCAAGGAGTGTACTGGAAAGTGGTTATTAAGTGTTTGATGCCTCCCAATTATTTATTTATTTGTGTTAAATTTTTGTTTCAAACAAATAGCTAATTAACATTAGGACTAAATATTATTTGTAACGAATGTTCTACTCTCCGAGCATAGCAAGAACGAAAGGTTATTCATTTCCTTTGGAAACTAGCCAGTTCATTCCGCAATTTATTGTACTGTGTTCAGTGTTTCTTGTCAGCTCTTTCCGCTCTTATACAAAGTATTTTTTTTGTGTGTATGTGGTGTCTTGTGTCCCCTTTCGCTGAGTGTGAATTCTGTAACAGTTTGCATATAAAACATTGCTGACCACAGAACTTTGGTATTAAAGAAACACAGTTACATTGTGATGCGTAATGCGATGTGTTCTAAATGACAAATATACGATCTGCGTTTTGGGCATATTGGTGTTTTAGACGCATGCGCAGTGTTAAGATTGGGGGTGGGGGTAGGGGTCAGAACAGGGTGAAATATCTGGTCGGCTACGCATCTCAAAGAGCTCAAAGAGCGTGATGGGCGTTTCGGAAGCAACTGGGCGCTGCTTTGCTTTCGTGTGACATAGGAAATACACATTTTAACTTATAAAAATATGGAAGGAGCACCTCTTGCTTCGGAGGGACCAGTACGCAGTTTCTTTCGTAAGTTTGTATATAGATATCTAACTCGTGTATTGTGATTTGCGATTATGAGGACCATTTTACAGTACCAGTGTTGGGTTATTAAAACGTTATTTCGAAATGTACTCGTAAGCCCTGATACTTAACTTACGGTTTTGTTGCAGCTGACAGTGAAATTATGCGATTATTTAAATTATTTAGAAATGATAGCTACTTCATATGTAATGTTATTGGTGTACAGTATTTGTTCTCTCTATCCTATGAATAAATTTTTAAACGTTGTTTTAGGACTGTTTATATATAAAACAGCCACGTATATATATATATGTTGCGATTATTTACGAATAACGTCAAGAGAGCCTTCCGCCGTTAACTTGGAAACTGTAATTTCTTCTCGTTATATTACTTGACCTCTACATCACCTTGGCTGTAGCACGCGTCCAGATTTCGGGCACTGACCCGACTTTTAGGTTACTGATTCGTCATCAATAAACACAAGAATTTCAGGGGACGTTTTACTTTAAAACGCTGACCACGTTTAAATTCACTGAACAAGGTTTGCCTTCTCGTAATTGGTTACATACCTTTCCCGTCGTAACGTTGAGCGCGTGTGCATGTTTTTTTATATAAACAAGGGATGTCCAAAGTCTGGCCTGTACATCATATAGGGTCGGTAAGAAACCTACATTTACGAAGTACACAAAAACTGTTTAAATATAGAATATCAGCCATAACATTAACTTATAGAATGTATATTCTGATTTCTGATTAAACAAATAAATAAGTAAATAAAAATATATATATAGAATACGTTTGGTAGATATAAAATATTTATTGTTCATAGTGCAGTTTTTAATAGCGGTTAAAATCTCTGCGTCTTATTTTTGAAGGGGAGGGGGTCTGAAGTTACAGTTCTGGGTTCATCTTGAATCAGACAATTTGTAATTTTCTTAAGCTTAAAATTTCCCTCTATCCCCTGGAGGAAATAAGAGGCCAAATATAATGAACATATTTTCCATCACGAGAGTGCATGTAAACAGTAATGGTTATAAACATGTAAGCCTACACACGTGCTTTGTTAGGCGGAAGAGCGTTTTCGTTCTTGAAGCCTATAGTTCGGAGTGGGTAGTACTTTTATAATATGATATATGTGCACCGATAAAGAATTTAATTTCATTGTGGTAAATGTAACTGGCTTACGTTCGAAGAACCTTTTTTGGAACATGTTGGAAAATAATTTACATCATCTAACATTAAGACGGTCAAATTACCGTATTTAAGCATGTATAGGCCGCGTGCGTGTATAGGCCGCAGCACAATTTTCAGACAGAAATTATAGACAAAATAATTTTCTTGGAATATTATTTCAGGAGTAGAAATTATTCCGAAATTTGGCAACGTTTAACGTTTTTTAAAATGAATTGTGATTTCGAATATTTCGAATATAAGCCGCACCCCAGTTTTCCTCTTGAATTTTTGGCAAAGTTTGCGGCCTATACATGCGTAAATACGGTATTCTATATAACCGAAACATATTAATCTAGTATATAAAAGTAAAGCTGTCCCTGTGCTTAACTAATTAAATATTATGCCATGAAGGCGTGTGGGGAGTGGATGTATAGATCCATGTACTCTTGACCTCAGCACTATAAATTGAATTGAGTGGTCAGCTTCACGCCCTCGCCGTTCTACCCCCGAGGAAAGTCTCCGATGTCCCTTGGATAGGAGGGTGCGTGGACCCCCAGAACCCGCTTTGACGACATGGAGAGGAGAAAAATCTTACCCCTACCGGGACTCGAACTCCAACCCCTCGGCTGTCCAACCCGTAGCTAGTCGCTATACCGACGGAGCTATCCAGGCCCCAAAACTGGTAGCTTATAGTGGGAAATCAACACCAGGTGGACAATGACGCCGCCAGTGTTGCCAGTAACAGTGCAAATATCGCAGAGTTGTCGGCGTTTAGTTGGTGTGAGCAATGTCCCACGTCCACCAACTACCAGTGTCACCCGGAAACCGTGGAGGTCCGTCTCAGTAGGCTGCAGGAGCTCGAAAAGTTATCGCGTTAATTGCTACTGCCATTTTGGGACGCCTAAATAATCTCGCGGTCACAAGTTAAGAGTCTCAGTGTTGCAAAAATCAGCTGATATTATTAAAGCTTTTACGTGACTGGAAGCCGTATTTACTGTTCTCTCTGCGGAGGATATTAAGAGGCTTGTTTCTTTGATTTCTTTATCTTCTTCCGCGATGTACGAGAACACTACATTTCGTGTTATACCGCCGCTGTTGGGTAGGCTAATACGCCATCAGTTTCATTTTTAGTGTTACTAAGTTTAAGTGAACATAAGTGACAGATCCACTCCTTCTTTCGTTGCCTCTTCTGTCTTTATTTTAGAATTTTGGTCTGAAAATCTGGTAGTATTCTTTTGAGATCGTGGTGAAAACATTCAAAAGTGCACGGGCACAATGATTAACAGAGTTTTCAAAACTCGTCGCGTCTCTAAATTCTTGGAATCCCCTTGCAACTGCATCCAAAATATGTGGTATTATACGCAGGACACTTCGTGATTGTTTATATATATGACCCCACGGGCATAGTGAGGCTGGAACGATTAATAAAACTAAAGAAATCCACCTCACCGGGACTCGAACTCTCAATCTTCCAGCTTGTATCATAGTGCCTCAGTCAACTACGCTACCGCGTGCTTCTATTTAGAAGCTGGATACAAGCTGGAAGATTGAGAGTTCGAGTCCCGGTGAGGTGGATTTCTTCAGTTTTATTAATCGTTCCAGCCTCACTATGCCCGTGGGGTCGACTCAGCCTCTAACAGAAATGAGAACCAGGAATATTCTTTAGGGTAAAGGGCAACCGGCGCGTAAGGTTGACAACATTACCGCCATCTGTGAGCTGATTGTCTAGAGAGAATGTGAGAGCCTCGACGTCTCACAATCCTACGGGCCTTCACGGCCTATTACATGGATAGCTTTGCCTTTACCTTACCCCATATAGAAACACAATTTTCCATACTGTTTCGGGTGTGTCTGACACATGATAAAGGTGTAGTCGTTCTAAACAACGGTAAAGTGTGCATGAAAAATTATGGAACAGTTGGGACGTATAGCACACACGAAGGAAACTGTGAGGAATTGAGACATCTTTCACCATTAATTCCTTGACTTATGATCCATGACTGAATAGCGTTTGCTCTACCAGTCGTTGCGTGTTGTTTGCCGGGCAGTAACGACGTTACCCAGGGAACTGAATAACCTTCATTAAAGGTTCGTTGCCTGGGATCGTCTTGTTGAGTGAAGGCTCGTTGCCTGGGAACGTATTGATGAGTGAAGGTTTTTTGCCTGGGATCGTCTTGTTTAGTGAAGGTTCGTTGCCTGGGAACGTATTGTTGACTGAAGATTCGTTGCCTGGGAACTTCTTGTTGATTTAAGTTTCGTTGCCAGGGAACATATTGTTGAATGAAGGTTCGTTGCCAGGGAACGTATTGTTGAATGAAGTTTCGTTGTCTGGGAACGTATTGTTGAATGAAGTTTCGTTGTCTGGGAACGTATTGTTGAATGGAGGTTCGTTGCCTGGGAACTTCTTGTTGATTGAAGTTTCGTTGCCAGGGAACGTCTTGTGTATAAAACACTGCATACGAATATTAGACATAGGCGGACGACGACTGCGAGAGAAGTAGACTCAGGGGGTCTACTTTATAATTGACCGTCTTCGAGGACCACCGTTGGTTGCCGTTCATAACTGCCCTCGTCTTCACTGGCAACTTACACCACGCTTTGGTCGCCACTCGTGACTGTCCTTTGTCCGACTTTACGTCACTTATAAATTCCTTCACCTGTGTCCCTTCCTTTCCCTGTGCTGCGGCTACCTGCACCGTGTCCCTGGACGCCTCCACTGAGTTACACTGCCCTCTTTCCCTGCCTCGGGGATGTCGAGAGGTTACGTGGGCAGGGGGGAGAATTGTGGTTTCTGGTGCTAGTAGGCAAGGGTTCTTTTCTGTACGATTATTAAGGTGTCTCACAAGCAGGGAAAGTCGGGAGTAGCTGGATTCTGCTCCGTAATGGTAGAGATGAATTTCTTATCTAGGGTCATACGGGCCTGGCTGGGGCAGGCCAAGAAGATCCTTAGGCTACTGTCACATACTCGTACACCACTACAAGCAACTTTGCATTTTCAGTAATTATTTATTTAACTTTAGCTAACACTGAACATAAAGGAAAACTCAAATAGTTTACACTTATGTGGACTGAACTTGTAATACTTCTAGACTCATAATCTACGTCACTTCTAGCGAAGTGACGTAGATTATGTGTCTAAATTGGCCGAAAGTTTTATGAAGACTCCTTTTGGGAGAATCATCTCTCTCTGAATCCTAAAGTCCACGAACCACAGCACCTAAGAGAAATCCACTCCTTCTACATGTGTTACTGGTCTAGTTTAAAAACTAGGAGATTCACTAAATTAGTTAATTTCCAATCGTGTTGCTTTTCTATGTGGTTCTGGCAGTTACTGACCTAACGCTAAAGTTAAAAGCGGCTTGATATATTAAGATCAGGGGATTAGACTCAGGCACTCCCACTTCCAAGTTATAGCCACTCCAAACTGTCAGCTCTCAAATTCCCAAAGACCTTCCGACTGTGCTGAAACAGCCAGAATTCCAGGAAATGTACCAGATGTTACTTCCTGTCCACATAGCAAAACTTGAACTTTCACTTCTCAGTGTAAAAAGGTGGCCATCTGCCGGATCTTTCTTTGTATAGTACTTAGTCTTAAGTTAATAAAATTTCAATTAATACGAAAGTGTCCGTCAAATTGTGATGAACTGTTACATCTCTCGCAGTCGTCGTCCGCCTATGTCTCATCTTACACTGAATGGAAGATATATTATATTTATAAATTGTGTAAAATATCTCGGAGTGTTCTTTGGTAAGAGGGTTACATGGAGATTGCACATAGAAATTATGGAAGCCAAGGCCTTCAGAACATTTATAAGATTGTATTCCTTATTCGA